GTGGTTCCCACAAACGAACAAAGCTTAAACACACTCTTATGTATTTTACCAACCTTATATTTAAGACACCACTTCATGTTGACCCAGTTAGCAGTGGTAAGTTAGTAAATTAAATTTTTTATTTAATATTTCATATTTGTGTTGTTATTGGTATTGACCAAAATGTTGATTTAGACGTAGGGCCTGAGATTGAGCCATTTTAGAACGAAAGCCTGCATTATTCCTTCATTAATTATACACCCTAATAACGAGATAGAGATGTCGTATAGTGACAATGACATGCTCGGTGGTTGGCAATTAGGGGATCCATTATATTTGTATTAGGAGCTTCGTTCTAAATCTGAAATGCAACATGTAGTGAAATTATATTGTATGAAGGCTCATCGTACAACCGTAGTAGCAAAAAGTGATGAGCATAGATTTGTGATGAAGTGTCGATACCATGCTGATGGTTGTCCCTGGTATATGAGGGCATTGCTGCCGAAGAATGGAAATACTTGGATGGTTAGTAAGTGGGGTAAAGATCACACCTACCCAAACCAAGGGCTTACCCGGGATCATAGACAGCTGGATTCAGATGTTATATATGCAACCATTATGAGTATGTATTGTATGATGTGTTATTACATATGTTATGTTTATGTTATTTATTGAAAATTATTTATTGACAATATTTTGATCTTGTTTGTTATTTATAGGTATGTTAAAGGAAAAACTATCCTTAAAACCAATTCTTATACAAGAAAGGATACACTGTCTGTATGGATATAATATAACTTACAGGAAGGCTTAGAAGGCTAAAATGAAGGCTATTGTGAAGTTATTTGGTGACTGAGATAAATCATATGCATTCTTGCCCAATTGGCTGACGTCTGTATGGATATAATATAACTTAAAGCTTGATACGGATCAATGTTTTGACAAACGTCGAGTGTATACCGTAGTGTAATGTGGCTTCTTAGCCTCATGCGTTTTTATGTGACATATAGGCATGATATTTGTCTAATATTCGATCATCACCCAGCATCATAAGGGCCGTCAGAGATCATGTCGGTTGGCAGCCTCCATTTGCTTATCACATGTTTTGTCTACGTCACATCGGAAACAACTTTAACACTAAGTTTAGGGATGTAGAATTGAAGAAAACCCTGATGAAACTTGGTATAAAATTTCATTAATATGTACTTGTTGTTGAGTTTGATTATTTGTATTGTAAATTTGTCTAATACATAAAAACTCTTTGTTTTTCAGGGTACATGAGTTCGAAGATTCATTTTGACATCAGATTTCAAGAATTTATCGACAATAACCCACAAGTTGCTTCATGGATAGATCAGATCCCAAAAGAACAATGGTGTAGGTCTTATGATGAGGAGGGAATGCAGGCTTGGTCACATGACGACTAACCTATTTGAGTGTGTGAATAAGGTCCTTAGGGGTGCACGTAATCTGCCTATAACGGCATTGGTCATGGTGACCCAAAGTAGACTTGTTGAGTATTTCGTCAATAGACGCAAAAAGATCCAGAAAGCTATGGCAAAAGGTAGGAGAATTTCAAAGAAGGTTGAGGCAGCCATACAAAAAGTGATCAATTAATAGTGAGTCTCCGTGCACGAGTTTTTGATAGGGATTTGCAGTTGTTTGAGGTTGAGGATGCCTATAACCAATTTACACATGATGTTGGTGACATAATGAGGGTGGACTTGATCAATCGCAAATGTCAATGTGGGAGGTTCACAGCTAGAAGGTATCCTTGCAGCCATGTGTTAGCAGCGTGCAAGGTAGAGAAGTTGAACCACTATGATTATGTTGACCCTGTGTTCTCCATTCCACACATTGCTCAGGTTTATGTTGCACACTGGTATCCGATAGGCAATAAGTTGTTGATTCCACAAGGCGATGGCACAATTATTATCTTGAATGCCTTTTTGATTAGCGCACAAGGAAGACCAAAGTCTTTAAGGATACAGAATGAGATGGATTGGGTAGAGTCTCAACCCTCAAACAATCAGAGTAGAGGTAGCTTGTGCAAACAAGTTGGTCACAACATACGCACATGTTCAATTAGGATTAGACAAACTTGAATCGTCTTTTGTAATGGCTTTTGTAATGAATTGTTCATATATTTTGATTTGCATGGTAATGTGTTAATGTAATGTATGCCTCTTTTGTCGTAAATTGTTCAATCAAGGGTCACAAATTAATGCAAATAGTCCTAATATTTCTTTACATATGAAATTATTCAAGTTTAGGTGTTTAGAAACACTAAATAGCATTTTGAGGAGTCAAACCAAACTTTAAAAGCAATTATTGTACATTTAAGGAATCGAAAATGCACGTATGTATTCTGGGTCCACAAATTCGTTCCCCAAGTCACATTAACTAAGTTCATGAGTGTAGAAACTCATTGGACCAAAAAAACTCGTGAAAACAAAATCATATGACCTTCAGCACTGGTTTAATCGATTAAACCAGTGGTTTTAACAATATGGATCTATTTCCACAAGTTTTTTTTTTGGTCCAATCAGTTTCTACACTCATGGTCTTAGTAAATGTGACTTGGGGAAGGAATTTGTGGTTTGAAATGACATATGTGCATTTTCGATTCCCTAAATGTACCAAAATTGCTTTTGATGTTGGTTTTGATGTACCAAAACGTTCTTTAGTTTTTTTTTTTAAATACCTAAACTTGATTCATTTCAAATGTATAGGTATATCAGGATTTCATGATCCAAATTGTGGGCCTTCTTGATAGTTTACCCTATTTGTGGGTATTCTTTAACAACATAAAAGTGAAACCATTAAACTTCAACAACGTAAACGAAAGGAAACATCTATTTCATTAGATTGGACAGTTCAATACATAAAGAAAATACATAAAATAAACGAAAAATACATTAACATCATATAACAACACCCTGAACCCTAAATCTACTCCTTCGCCTTATCAGACTCAGTCTCCTCATGTGATACATGGGCCCCCTCCTTTACTACCTCCTCAGTCTCAACCTCCCATCCTCGTGCAAACTCCAGACGAGCAAGCCTAAATAATAAGGTTTAAAAAAAGGTTTCTGGTGTGATGTAATCGATTAAACCACGGGTTAATGTTTTATGCATTTTTTGATCATTTAATCGATTAAATCACGAACTTAATCGATTAAAAGAGGGCAGGTTGGTGGATAGTTTTGGATCTGGGGCAAAATAATTATTTTTTAATTAATGAAGGGTGAAATGGTTAAAAAGCCCAAAGATTTGACATAAATAACTATTTTTTTGATACTATTTATGTCATATGACCTTAATAACTCTAATTATTGTTATAAAAAAAAGACTCTAATTATCACCTCTAAAATTGGGAAATATAAGGATATACTACTTGTTATTGAAAAGAAAATCCTTCGTCAGCAATTTTTTTTTAAATACAATGTGAGATATTCCTTTTTCCACTGTAAAGAAAATCCTTCGCTTACCAACAAAAAAAGAAAAAGAAAATCCTTCATCTATAACTTAAATTTTTGTGAAAGATATTTCTTTTTCTATCGTATTTTTAATAATGAATGATTAATGATGAGATTGAAAAGATAAATAAATCCTGATATATAAACAAGTTAATTCGAACACTATGTGACAGTAAAAAAAAAGTAACAAAATTAAATTTAATAGTTAAAAAAAAAATAAACTCACAAAGAAAAAGTTGAGGTATTCGATTATTAAAAAAAATATAATTTAAATATGAGACAAGTAATCTTGCAAAAATTCACATAACTCCCAAGTTCAAATAAAAATTAGTCCCACGAACAATTTTAAATAATTCAAATATGTTGAAATACCTCGTAATAATTTTGTATTATTAATTTTTTAATAAGAGTGACAAATATATGGGATAAATAACTATCCGTGCTATATCTTAGACATTAGATTATGGGATTAATATTTTTAATATTTTAAGAGATTATTTTATCTTCTATATATACAAAAAAATTTGTGAGACTCATATTATTTGGCTTTTTCACCTTTTTACCCCTTATTAATTAATTAATAACTATTTTGCCCCTGATTCGAAACTATTTATCAATCTGTCCCTCTTTAGTCGACTACCTTGCATTTTTAATCGACTAAATGACCAAAACAGACAAAAAATGGCTGCTGGGAGATTTAGTCGACTAAATCTCCCTATTTAGTCGACTAAATCTTCATATTTTACAAAAAAAAAAAAAATAAGTCAGTATGATTTTAATCGATTAAGTACAGAGATTTAGTCGATTAAATCTCCAACAACCGTTTAGTCGATTAAAAATGCAAGGTAGTCGATTAAAGAGGGGCAGATTGGTAGATAGTTTCGAATCAGGGGCAAAATGGTTATTAATTAATTAATAAGGGGCAAAAGGGTGAAAAAACCCATATTATTTTCTCTTTATGTAAGTTTCACACACTTTTATATATTAATAAAAGTTAAAATTATCTCCTATAATATAAAAATCATTAATCCCTTATAGGCCTGCTTTTCTAGACATAAGTTATAATTTGACTTATATCTTCGACTTATCTATATTTAAAAATAAAAATATTGACATAAGTTCGTTAACCTAATTAAGTTTATTACGTATTCGATATTTAAAAAAATAATTATTTTATTATTTAAAATTATTAAAATAATAAATTATTTATTTAATTTAAAATAAAGGTTCACTTTTTCTATCTTCAACGTAGATAACTTATCCACATTGAATCCAAAACGACGTCGTTTTGAGACAGAAATCAAGATATTTTTGTAATTATAATTTATTTTAAGGTTATAATAATTTTTTTTATTATAATTTTTAAATTTTCAACCAAAACGATGTCGTTTTGAAAGCAAACGTAGATAACTTTTTTACTTCACTTTATAAATATTAAAGCCTTAAAATAAATAATAATATAAAGGGAAAGACAATTGTAGAGCCTGCACATAAAAGAAAGTTCACGTTCTCTCTGGCGTGGCCATCACTTTCCTCTCTACAAGCTAAGAATATACATATATACTCATTGATTCCTCACTTTTTGGGTTACCTATTTCTTCCATTTTCGAATCTTCCATTGCTTTCTCTTCGATTTACGTTTCGGTCGACTCCAAGATCTACACGAAATTCCAGGTAATGCCTAGTTTCCTGGTTGTTGAGATTTGGATTTTGAAATGAAATCTTCCTTTCCGTTAATAATTTAGTTCAGTTAGAAATTAGAAAGCTACGGTGTTTGGAATTGGTTATGTGTATTATATCAGAGTAAGAGGTTCAATTTGGTACATGAATTACATCAGTATTGAACAGTTATCTTTCCTGTTAAGTATAGAATCATCAATTTGAGTTCCTTTATTATTATTATTTTTTCGCTTTTTCCTTACATTATCTTAGAATTGAACAGTTATCGAAATTTTCTTTCGCTTATTGACATTGGCGCTCTTGCAAATTGTTTGTGAGCATTTAGGAAAAGAAAATAGAATGCAGATTTGGGTTTCAAGTCATGCAATTTTAGTTTATTCGGGATTGAGACTGAAAAAATGCTACTTTCATTTATTTATTTATTGTGGTTGGAGATGCTCTGTCGTCTACCCTGACCAAAAGCCTTTTCAAGTAGGCAAATTTGAATTCAGATAGCATTAAGGATTAACTTGTACTATTTTGTTGCTTTTCAATTACTGAAGGCAAGTTCTGGAAGCTATTAAGGATTAACTTGTACTATTTGACCTGTAATGCAGTGTTGGCAAATGCAAGTGCTGATGCAAATTGGGTAGGTTCATTTGTGGAGGTACCTCTGAAACTTGGGAAGCTGTGATAATGGATCACGATGGAGGGAGTTCATCAACAGTAAGTGCAGGAGTGCCGGAAATTCCAGGACGCTCGACACGACATGGTGGTGCGTGCATTTTACTTTCAACTAGTTCTGTTAAGTTAGAACGCAAAAAGTTTGGGCATTGCATGGATGGATTTTCTGATAGACAATTTTTTGTTCATATGCTGCAATCATATAATTAATGAATAAATCCCTTTCTTTCCTTTTCTTTTCTTCCCCATATGACCTGTGTTAGACTGGAAACTTAGTAGGGCAGCATATTGATAGTTCAGATTATAGGAGGTTCATACTTGAATAATTGAATTGGATGCTGTGGAATGATTCTTTTTTAGTCACCTCGACTAGAATCATATTGTAAATTATTTCACATCTAGTAACTATTATCAAGAGATAGAGGTTAGTTATCAGCAGTTACAAAGAAGGATGTAGAATTTTGTATTTAGATGTTCTCTCTAGTCAAATGCCTGAGTTTTGAATATTGTACTTAAGCTTTGACATTGTTGCAAACATACAGTTTTAGGAGATCTGGCAGAATAATTGATTTCATTTATTCACTTCTATAAAATTGTATTGTAGTCATTTGTTTCTGTACTTCAAAAAATTTCATATTTATTGTTCTTTCGCACATGCTGCAACCTAACTTCAGATCTTTTATATTATACATTATAGTGACCTAATACATAAAGAATTGAGGAATCATTTTGCAGATGCATCCCGTTTCAATGCATTATATACATTTTTCTCTTCTACTTGAAAATTGACTTTGTTTTGGAAAGAAATAAAGCTTGTTATTATATTTGGCCTCTACATAGACTAGAAAGTAAGTCAGAAATGTCCTATAGATTGAATTTCTTTTACATGTTTCTTCTTTAGACAAGTCCTTTGTATTGAACTCTTTTATTTCTTATTTTTCCTTACCTTTTTCTTTTCTTAATGAAACTTGTACTGATTGCCATTTTGGAGGTTTTGCAGCATTCTATCAGTTTACACAACAGAACCTTCCAGCATGTAAACCTGTCCTTACACCTGCAGCAGTTAGTTCTTCAACAATACTTGAATATTTCATGATTCCTTACTCTATAAAATGTACATGCTAAATCTTAACCATGTTCTATGCAGGTCATTGCTACATTTCTATTGATGGGTTTCATTTTCATTCCCGTTGGACTTGTTACACTTCGTGCCTCGAATAGTGTATAAATCATTTCTACTTCCTTTAATGTTATGCAGTGAATTTTTTCTTTTCTCCCTTCAAAATCCTCATGTTTATGTCAGTAGTAGGCCCCCATTTAGGAAAGTGTACTTTAGGAGAAATAAGGATGGGCCCAATGATCATGTTGGGCCAGGCCTGTTAGTAACAAGAGTTATGGTTGATTGATATTGTTGGATATAGTAGATAGTGTTACCGATGGTAATTGATAGATAGATATAGTAACTAAAGTTACCTGATATTAATTGATATTGATAGATATGGTGGATATTATTACCTAATATTAATGGATACATCAACATTAACAATACCTTTATCCCAAACTAGTTGGGGTCGGTGACATATGAACCCAAATGAAAAGTATAAAAAGATTGAGAAAAAAAGATATTTTTTTTAAAAAATATATATAATATTATCCATTAAAAATAGAACTAAGCAATTAAAAGGAAAAATAAATTAAAATAAAGTGAAAATAAAGATACATAAGAGGCAAAAAAAGAATAAGCAAGTAAAAATAAAAAAAAATAACAAAAAGGAAAAACAGAATACATAAAGAGAAGAAAGATTGAGAGGAAAAAAAAAATAAAAGAAAAGAAGGAAAGTAAAGAAAGGACAAGATAAAAAAAAGGTAAAGAAAGAAAGAAAGAAAGGAAGATAAAGGGAAAAAGATTAAAAAGGGACCGTCTGGAATATAGGAAGATATTCGGCTGGAATATAGGAAGATATTCGGTTCTAACCCTCCATAATGGTAATAGCTTTCCTTCAATCCATCCTAAGACATACCATTCGCCAATCTATATCTCACTCCATTAAGTCTTGTTTTACTACATTCTCCCAAGTAAATTTTGGTCTACTTCTTCTTCTCGTTGTGTCAAGCTCTTGATAACAAACTTTTGTTCTTATGGGAGAATCTAGGGGTCTTCTCATCACGTGCCCAAGTCACCTCAATCTATGCTCTCTCATCTTTTCAACCACCGGTACTAATCCCACCTTTCGTTGAATTTCTTCATGTAAAGAACCAATTTAACCCAAAGGCTTAAGCTGTTCGATGAGGCTACATTAATGATTATATATATTTCTAATACGTCCTCTCACACGAGAGCTCACTAGACTTGAAGGGTGGACAATGACAGACTCACCCACCTGTGCTGAAAAACTGTACAAAAACGTAAGTTGTTCGGTGAGGCTACATTAATGGTTTTATATATCTCTAACACTTCATTTCTTATCTTATCCATCCTTGTATGACCACACATACACCTTAACATCCTCATTTCTGCTACTCCCATTTTATGCTCATGTTGCCTATGTGTTGGCTAACATTCAACTCCATATAATATTGCAGGCCTTATTGATGTTCTCTACAATTTTCCTTTTAACCTAAGGGGAATTTTGCGGTCATACAAAAACTTTGATGCACTACATCATTTCATACACCCTGCTTTGATTCTATAAATTACATCCTTGTAAATCTCTCCACTTTTTTGCAGAATTGATCCTAGATATTGAAAAGTATTTTTCTTGAGTACTTCTTGTCCAAGCAGGTGCACGAAATCTTAAACTTACCTAAGAAAACTCATACTTCATATACTCAGTCTTGCTCTAGCTTAATGTAAATCTTTTAGACTTCAACGTGGTTCTCCACAATTCTAGTTTTCTATTAACACCACCCTTGGTCTCATCAATGAGCACAATATCATCTGCAAAAAGCATATACCATGACACTTCCTCTTGAACATCTTTTGTTAGTTCATCCATAACTAGGGCAAAGAGATAAGAACTTAGAGCAGAACCTTGGTGTACACCTACCGTGATGGAAAAATAACTTGATATTCCATTACAAGTTTTCACACATAGAATAGCATTGTCATACATATTCTTGATTGCCTCTATATATTTTGATGGTACTTTTTTCTTCTCAAGAACCCACCATAGAATCTTACTTGGAACCCTGTCATATGTATTCTCAAGATCTATAAACACTATATGTAAGTCGTTCTTCTTTTCTCGATATCTTTCCATTAATTGTCATACCAAAAAATTGGCCTCCATGGTACATCTTCCTGGCATAAACCCAAATTGATTTATAGAGACTTTGGTTTCTCTCCCTAAGCTTTGTTCAATAACTTTCTTACAACTTTATAGTATGGCTTATAAGCTTAATGCCTTTATAGTTAGAACAATTCTGAATATCTCCCTTGTTTTTGTAAATAGGCACAAGTATACTTTTACTCCATATATTAGGCATCTTATTTGTTTGGAGAATCTTATTGAAAAGATTGGTCAACCAATTTATTGTCTCGTAACCTAGGCCTCTCCACACTTCGATAGGGACCCTATCGAGTCCCAAAACTTTATTATTTTTCATCTTCTTTAAAGCCTCCTTAACTTCATACGCTTTGATTCTGCGCATAAACCTTCTGTTGAAATCATCATAAGCATCCTCCAAATCCACCTCACTTTTATTGCCATCCCCATTAAAAAGTTTGTTAAAGTAGTTCATTCACCTTTCTTTTACTTCTATATCTCTTACCAAAAGTTTTTGATTTTCGTCCTTGATACATCTAACCGGGGTGAGGTCTTTACTTTTCTTTTCCCTTACTTTTGCAAGTTTATACATAACTTTTTCACCACCCTTGCTCCCAAGATTTGTATACAAATCGAAGAAAACATTGCTTTTAGCTTCTCGCACTGCTTTCTTAGTGTTTTTCCTCGCCAATCTAAACTTTTTGCAAGTTCTTATTATCAGGATTTTTATGCAAACATCTATAACATTCATTCTTTTGTTTAATTGCCTCTTGCACCTCTTCATTCCACCACCACGTTTCCTTTGTTTGAAATCTATTCCCTTTGTTTTCTCCTAATGTCCCCCTTCCCACATTTTGGATATACAGCCATCTCATTCCATATTTCATTTGCTCTTTTATTAGTCATAGTCCTTCATGAAACATTCTTTCCTTAAACTCTGTTTGTTTTTCCTCTTTTAGCTTCCACCATCTTATTATTGGGTTCTAAGCACTCTTCCTCATTTTTTGTACTTTGTTTAACTGAACCTTTAAAACTACCAGCTTATGTTGCGTAGCGACACATTCTCCAGGGTAGACCTTAAAGTCAACACATGAGGTAATACCTACTTTTCTAGCAAGAAAGAAATCAATCCGGTTACAATTTTGGCTGCTATAATGAGATTAAATGTGACTCCTTTTGAAAAAAAAGTGTTTGCTAGCATCAAATTAGAAACTAATGCAACGTTCAAGTATCCTCTCTTGCCTTATTTTTCATCCCATAGCTATATACCCTCCATGAATTCTATCAAAACCCCACTACTTTTACCAACATGACCATTTAGATCTACTCCTATGAAAATCTTCTCTCGTGCTATCCCCCTTAAAATCTCTTCCAAATCTTCCCAAAATTGGTTCTTATCGTTTAATTGAAATCCAACTTGGGGGGCATACACACTAAAAATATTCAAAATTAAATCGCCCACTACATGCTTAACCAAACTAATCTTGTCGCCTTTTCTTCTGATGTCAACAACTCTATCTCTAAAGCTTTTACGATCATAATCCCAACACCATTTTTACTCTTGTTTATACCCATGTACCACAACTTGAAACCGGTACCTTCTATTTCCTTAGTCTTTTCTCCAATCCACTTAGTTTCTTGCAAGCAAACAATGTTCACTTTCTTTCTAGCAAAAATATTTACTAACTCTCTCAATTTACCCGTTAAGGTTCCAGTGTTCCAGCTTCCCAATCGTTAACCTCTGGGCATTTCTTGCCCGCCATGCCCACCCATCTGCATGTTGGGACCTTGACATACTTGTCATGAAATCTGGGTGAAGATGTGGCGCCTTGCCTTAGGACAAGGACCCTAGCCTATTTATCACTACACCTTCCTTGTGGCAAGGGCCCTAACCCATTTTTTGCTACACCTGGGGTCTGGTTGCAATGTGTCGCTAAGAAGGGTACGCTCCAACAAAAAATTATAAGGGTTCATCTCATAAATATAGCTGTTTTCTTTTACAGCTAGCTCACCACACCTAATGCCAACCCTCTAGCTTAGGACAGACCATGCATGTAAGCACACATAGGCGGAGTTACTGAATATTATGGATATTGTTAGATAAATTAGTTAGGGGTTGCCGGATATTGGAGAATATTCTCTAAATGGTCAAAAGTAGGATATAAGGAAAAAAGGGTAGATAGGAGATATTATTCAGTTGTAAAGTTGGGAGTGTGTGGGAGAGACCAGGTTCTCAAATTCCTGAGGGACAGCAGCTCTGTAACCATTCTTTCTCTTCCTAACCTTGGGTTTTCCTTTTATCCAGGGATAAGGGAGGTCATATCAATAAAAAAAACCATATTTTCCCTCTGTTATTCCCTAATGTCTGGTCCAGCTCTATCTGCTTACTGCAATATTTATTTGTCCTATGGATTTGCAGGTTGTTGAAATTGTGGACAGGTATGACATTGATTGTGTACCTGAAGAATTCAGAAATAACAAGGTTGCATATATCAAAGATGACTCAATCTCCAAAAACTGTTCACGATTATTAAAGGTGATAGATGATTTATTTTTTGATTAATTAAATCATTCATTGATTATCACTCCAGGGTTCATAATATGCAATAAAATAAATTGGTGGCACATAATTCCTTACTTGTTTAAATGAGTGGTTGGCTACCTCTAAACATCTTTGGAAGTTGCAACAGGATTCACAAACCTCTCTAGTAATGTTCTATGGCTGTGTCAATTATTATTGTTAGCAATTTTTTTTCCTAGCAAAAGCAAATTTAGATGAAATAGATTGTGATTTCATTTGCTATTTAGAAGTAGACTGTTGGGATAAAAATAAAAAATAAAAAACCACTCTTCATTAAACCCCAACTAGCGAAGGTGAGGCGAGAGCAATTCTTGTATGCAACCTTACCCTTACATATTTGTAAAGAGGTTGTTTCCCACATTTGAACCGCTAACCTTTTAGTCATAAAGGAGCAACTTTACCTATACTCTAGGGTTACCTTCTTTATACTTTTCTGTGATAGACAAAGAAAATATATATTAGAGAGAAGAGAGGAAGCAGAGGACAGAAACAAATAAAATAAGACTGGATAGATATCCTCCTAAAAGGGGTTTAAAAAAACCAAGAGCAAAACAATGGAGACGAGCAGCTTAAGTAATACTAATTTAACCATAGGCTTCTTGTGACTTGGTTGCCATTTATAGTAAGCATTTGTAAGCAGAAGAAAATATGAAAATTGCCAAGACAATTGTAAGGAATAAATAATCACTCCTTATTATGAATCATGGAAATCTTATCTGGTAATAGATGGTGATGGTTTATGTCATTGCTCTAAAGGACATTTAATTGTGTGATATTTGCTTACATGCTTTTCTGCTGTTACTTGACTTTCATAACACTCTTCACTTACTTTTTCCTCCCTCATTTAATCTTAGAAGAATTTTGGGCTGGTTACTAAACTGATATTTTTGCTGAATAATTACGATAAAGTTGATCTTTTTACTGTCTCTTGATTGTGCTTTCAACTTGTTTGTAGGTACTTAAGCCAATGAGAGCACCAATTTATATTTACTATCAGCTTGATAACTATTACCAAAACCACCGACGGTAAGCATTCTTTATTTTCTTCTTTTCCAATACAGTGATGAAGTCTTCAAAAGAAATACAAAAAGTATTATTTTGATGAGGTCAATGCTTAACTTCATCTTATATCTTTTTGTTCTGTCTCTTTCCAATTTATCTGCTTTCGTTTATTTGTATGTGTTTTGGTCAATATACGAGTTATCTATATATCATGTACCGGTCCTCTCGATATGGGAAATCATTTATTCCAAGTTAGTGCTTCTGTAAGTACATTCAATTGAGCAAAGCTAAATGTTTGCTCTGTTATGAGGCCAGTTGGTTTTCGACTCTCACCCTACCCTCGCAAGTCGGGAGCCTTGTGTACTGGGGCTAACTGCTCCATTATCATTTCTTTTCTTAGATTGTGTTTGGACTTATTGTCATTTCTCCAATGCAATTCTGGATTATTTTTCTCAACTTTTATCTCACCTGTTGTTAAATTTTGAAAATTTATTGCTGTGCATGTCATTGATTTGTCTTCGGAATTAATATAATGTACTATATCCAAAAGTATTTCAGGTCTAGTGAAGGTCTCTTGAATTAGAGTATAAAATAAAATGCGTTTCTTTATTCCTGGTTCATTTCTTTCCATCCAAAACATACATGTTCCCAGATTTACCTTCAAATACATTATTTTATTTCTCTACTGCTCCTTCAAATCTTAAAAATATGTTCAGGTATGTCAAAAGTAGAAGTGATCTGCAGCTCTTACATGGACTTGGATACAATGGCACCAGTTCTTGTAAACCTTTACAGTCCTCTGATAATCTTCCAATTGTACCTTGTGGGTTGATAGCTTGGAGTTTGTTCAATGATACATATCAGTTCAGTCGTGGGCCATCCGAATTGAAGATCAATAGGAAGAACATTGCATGGAAGAGTGATCGCAATCACAAATTTGGGAAGCATGTTTACCCATTTAATTTTCAGAACGGGACCTTGATTGGGGGCGGAAACCTGGATGCAAGTATTCCTGTAAGTTCTAAGTTTTTGAATTATATATTGAGTCTTTTTTCTTATTGTCATCTATCATAATAGTCACACATCAGTCTTGCATGCTCTACAACATAATGTGTAATTTTTTGTAATTATAGTAAAATATTCCATTAGCGTAGATTAGTCATTATTTTATGAAAGTAATTATTCAGCTAGTTCTATATATTACAATGAAACCATGTACTAAGAATTATTCTGAAATGATATTCAGTCTTTTTCTCATTCAAGTTGGTATGAGAGTTCCTGATGTGAGAAACTTTGGCTCTACAAATCGACCCTATCCTTCCTTCATTGCAGCCCTCATATCAGCCGCCCTTATTGCAATTTATTCCTCCCTGTTTGCGCCATTCATCTTGTCCTGGATTTTTCTACCCATATCTGCTCTCTCCTAGTCCTTCCAGTCCTCCTCCCAAATAGCAAGCCCTAAACATTTCATGAAAACCTTTGGCCACCTTCAGACCCTAAGATTACTGGGAAAGCCCCAAAGGTGGGAGTTGAAGTTTGAACCCTTAGTACAGGTAAGCTGGAGTGTGTTCGGAGTTCGGACTCCCATTGATCCTCTCAGTAAGCATTCTAGCCATTGTACTTTGACTGTGATGGGTGAGAATTTATGTTCTCAATCCATTAATGCCTCTAGTATTGTATTGACTTTGGTGCTACCGAGTACTGATCACATTCCATTCCATTCCTTACATTTTTTGTCATATTAGTTATTACTTATTATCCCTCTTTTGGTAAGTAGAACATAACTATAGCTAATGTATCGTATAGATAAGTTGCAGATTGTGGTATTCTTCACTATATTTCAAGTTTTCAACAATCTGCTCCATGTTCATAAACTTTCAGTAGTGTTATTTTTATTCAAAAGCTAACCATAGACCAAACTTGTGCGGTAACCTTTTTTTATTCTCATTGTGTCTTTTAATATCTTGCCACGGGGAGGACAATTGGAGTTACTAAGGAACAAGGAGGGTTATACTATCTCCTCAATATGCAAGCTGAAGGTGATACTGATCAAAAGTTGTTGTGCTCTTGTCATCAATCTAGTTCAGAGTCTCTTCTCAAATTTGGCTATAACACAATGTCTTGGACATCTTCCTTTTACTTAAGTCTATGTTTCTGATACGAAACATGTGAAGGTGTATGGTAAGAGGTGTCACATAGGAATAATTAGTCATGGGAATATTCTGGATTATAGCACACGTAATTAAGTGTGTGCAATTCTGTTATGTAGGTGCTGAGCTGTCTAAGTTGGTTAGGAAGATTGGTTATATGTTGAGTTGGGCATGCGAAGGGGAATCAGTTGGGAATTGGAATTGGAATTGAAATTGGGACTTGGAAGGCTCAGCATCTCTCTAAGCTGTTGATTTATAGTTTCTGTCTTTAGATCTTTCTTTCTGTAACAGCATTGTTGTGTAGTAGTTTCCTTTTCTGCAAATTTCCATTACTGTAGCCATTGATTCATCAATATACAAAAAATCCAAATAGTAATCTGGTCCAAAAACTTGCTTGTGTTCTTTAATTTCCTTGATTTCTGATTCGGATCCAATCTTATCAATTGGTATCAAAGCTCTTGATCTTGGAGCGTTGAAACCAACCAAAAAAAAAAGAAGAGGAGGAAGATGATTCCAGATTTTTGGGGCGGAGAAGGATATAGGTGGCCTATCAGTGTTGAACAACACTGCCAAGCAAAGGGAATTCCTGAGTCTGCAAAGTTGTCCGAAGCGGTGAAGATACTTAAGGGTCGAGCATGAAGTTGGTACATATGTTGGAGTTGACTCCATCCAAATGCAAGTTGGTGGACATTTTTAAGAGATTTTTTATAGGTATACCAACTTGAGATTTGTTTGAAAGATGAGTGAATCAGAATCAACAAAACCAAAAACAGAGACGCTGAAGAAGAAGGTTGAGGATGATGAGAAGAGGAGTGAGGAGATTCAAGAATCCTTTCGATATGTAGGACCAATATTCCTTAAATCTGAGTTTGAGATGTAGAAAAAATCTCTGCCAGAGAAGGTGGAAACATGTGGTGATTCGATAAAAAGAGAATAGGATGTTGGAGGAGATTGGAGGACTCCGATGATGCACATGCAAGAAGAAATCGTGGAAACAAACCATGGAAGTAAAAGAGATCAATGAATTTCATGAAGCCATGAATGAAGGAGATGTTTCAATAAAGGTAGTGCAAGAACAGTTGAAGCCACAATCAACGGAGGAGGTGGAGCACCCATCACCGTTACCTAAACCTTTGGACTTGAATTTATTTGTGAGGTGGAGGGTTCATCGCTACTTATCCATGGAATAAAGAAGCAGCTAGGAACATGTAAGAGGTTGAAGAAGGATCATATTTGGGCAAACAAAGAGTTGGGTCATCTTTTAGACCCGATCCAAATTTTTTATTCTGGAATGGTGCACTTAGCCCAATTCAAAGAGAATAGTTTCTCCATGTCTATTTTATGTAAGGAGTGGCCATGTGAGACAACAAGTTTGATTGAGTCAAGTGGGCCCAAAAAACATGGGTGTCATCAAATTGGGCTAAAGTGGATTGTCCAGAAATCTGGACTCTCAAGCTAACCCATTAAGGAACATAAAGCACAACAGAGTGTGGGCTTTAGAGGAGACGACATCACATTCTCCCCTCCTCAGTGGCTTGGGGTACTGTTGGAAAGCATTTTTGTTTGGTGTAGGATCTATCGCTCCTCCAAGGGAGTGTTTCATGTCGGTCACAAAAGGGAGGAGGAGCCTTTAGGCTGCAATAGGTCCTGGTACGAGTTTACCAAGTGGCTAATGGTTCTGTTTCACCTAATGCATATGGGAGTTGGGGGGTAGCGAAAATAAAATGTTCGGATTAAAATTAACTCCAAGGCATAAGCGATCAAAGAAGAAAAGAGTTAAGGATAATCCAGAAAATCACCTTAAGGCTCCAAACCGAATAAAGCTAGATGCGGGTTATCTCGTGAAATTTGCTAAAGCTAGAAAATAATGGACCCCTACATGCGAGTCCACGATACTTTGAGGCAAGAGCTTCTATAGCTAGAGAGAAGATTACAAGACCAACTTCAGGTCAAATGCTTGTTCGAAAATACACTTGTAAATAGGTGTTCATCTCTTGTTCAATTGATTAAGGAAATTGCATTGTTAGGGTTGGAAGTAGTATATTTGGAAATAACTTCTCTCCTTGTACCATAAAGCTTTTGATTAGCAATTGTCTTTTGCATATCCATCTACTAAGTATAAAAGTATAAAGTATCGTCAAACAACAGTTAGAGCACGATTCATTGAGGTTTCTATGCTTGAATTTTTAACCAAAAGAGAATGTTCTACAATACAATTCAATGACCATGAGCTCGAGATTTTGCCAAGGGAACATAATGGAAATGAGCTTCAGACTTTGGCAAAAGAATACAATAAAAGTCGGCTAGAAGAAAAGCACTTAGATTTTGGTGTTTATTGTTACCATTCGCCATTATCTCAATATTTAACAATTACAAAAGTATCTCCTCAAGTAGAATTCTTAACTAAACCTTTGTGTAATTGTCATTCCCAACCATTGTCCATGATGAATTATGCTCAAAGCTCTTCAACAAATATAATCAGTCTTGCTGAATATTTTAGGGCGCAAATATCTGATTAAGTTTCAATGACACCTAATATATTTTCTGAAGATTTGGTCAAATGCATATCAGCTATATGTTGCAAGCCCTCTTGTGACACATCCTAGCTTTTCATTTCCCACATTTGCAGGGGAATTGGAGAGAATGACAACGGTCAGAAACATGATGATCCAGAGAAGTTGTCATGGTTAAACTACTAGTGTCGGCCGTATTTTATAAGCTTTGTCCTAATCAAGCTTTTGATTTACATGACATTTATTTCAACTGTGTATTTATAGGTTATGTGATACAAACCAAACAATTAACACACAATTTTATACTGAATAAACCTTGTATATTAATATTTCAACAATCACCAGAAATCATTACAATGGTTCTCCATAGTATTGCTATGGCTCAGAGTTTAAAAGAAAAGAAGAACGAAATTGAAATAACAATTCAGGGACCTTCGAGAAGCCCAACAAATCTCCTTAGCACCTTTCTCTCAATATTGACCTCCTAGGTACCTCTTCGTTCATACCTCTCTCCTATTTTATAAACCCATCTTAACCAACTTGCACACGTATGATCTCTTCATCCTCTAACTGACTATCTGACTCAGCACTAACAGATTGAGGAGTAACCAATTGAGTGGAGTCATAGTGTTTCCTACCTTTGTCCCTCACATACACATTACTGACTTGGGCCTTGCGTAATTGGCCCTATCAATACTCCTCCCCACAACAAGCACCTTGTCCTCCAGGTGGAAATCAGGAAATTGAGCATCAAGATTACTGAAATCCTCCCACGAATTTTCAAAGGCGGGTAAGTTATTCCACTTCACCAAAACCTGCACTCAGCCTTGAGTGTCTCTACGCCAATCCAGCACAGCTGCAGGAGTGACCTGCAATTCCCATTCTTCAGTCAACATGTCAGGTAATGGTTGAGCATTTTGCACAGCAGGGTAAGCCTTTTTAAGCAAAGAGACATGAAAAACAGGGTGAATTTTACACCCCTCGAGCAAAGACAAACGATACGCAGCTGCTCCAATCTTCTCTTCAATCGAAAAAGGCCCATAATAACGGGGACTAAGCTTCTCATTGATCCGGGAAGCTAGAGTTTTCAGCCTATACGGTTGAATCCGCAAATAAACCATATCCCCTATTTCAAAACTAACATCTCTTCGGTGCTGGTCAGCATGAACCTTCATCTGATTCTGGGCTTTCTCCAAATTTCCTTTCAACTCATCTAGAATTAAATCTCTGGCAGCTAATAGTGAAGAGACTGCATCCACCCTTAAGAAACTATTTCCCACACGCAACAATTGAGGAGGATCTATTCCATATAAAGCTTTGAACGGTGTCATTCCGGTTGACTCCTTGTAAG